AGAAGTCGTGGTAGCTCAGATGGTTAACGCTCGCTGTAAATATAACAGAACGCGAGTAACCCGGGTTCGATCCCCGCCGGCACCAATGAAATTGTTAATTGCAATTTAAGTGCTGATTTACCACGTGCTCGGTGGTGTAGGAAAACATCGTGAGGAAACCTGCATGTCTGAGGAATAAGAAAAAAAAATATTTCGAAGACATGTGAAGTTCGCCAACACGCATTGGGGCAGCGCGGCGGACACTTCCTTGCCCTAAAACCCTCTCAGAAATGAGGGGAGGCCTGTGCACAGCAGTGGGACGTATATAGGCTGTAACTTTACTTTTACTTTACTTGTTCCTAGTCTTGGTCTTGCAAAAATGCAAGAACAAGACCAAGAATGCAAGATCAAGACCGATTTTGGGCAACACTAATATTAAGGTTAGGTCATTTTTGAAAACATTTATATATTTAGTTAAATCCTGTATATCACATTGAATAGAGTTCTTTATTTTCGAATCGTCCATGTCTTGTATAGTAGTAAATGTACTGTTCATTCTACTTTTATAAAATAATAAATTGCATTAGCAATTTCGTTAAAGAGTTTGTTGAACATTATAAACAATTTAGTAGAGGGTAATTTTGCGAAGTGATTAGCTCGATGTGTATATATAAAAAGATTAAAATAAAAGTTTTTATATATGCATAATAGCAACGTAATGTGCAGGTGGGTACGGTGACAGAAGAACCTAAGAGAAGTAAAAATAGTTACAGTAGTCTGGGTAATCTTGAACTGTTTGTTAAGATATGACTGTGTTGTATTACTGGAAGATGAATGTGTGAAAGTGTGTCTGAGTGATTGATTTTTTACATTTGTATTTAAAAAATTAAAAACAAAAAATAAATATACGAAAACACGATAGAGCTTACTCTAATATAAACGAAGAGATTGCATGTATATTGTAGAACGGCTTTTAGTCAGGTGTCTATCTTCAGCTGCTGGATTTGCGATTCGTTTTTAATTAGTATTATTTTGGGGTTATCGTCTTTCCTCAAATAAACCTTCCCGTAAGATGTCCAACAAAATTTATACGAATGTGACTTGCTAAGGTCGCGTGCAAGAAAATAGAGTCGGGCAGCCTTAGCTGCCCTACTACTCTGATACAATATAGAATTATTTTCTACACCTGAAGACTTAAGTCCTAAATGATGAGCACTGAGTTTTGGTTTGTTATTTTTTTTGTTGAACTCCTTACATTTTTTCAAAAAATAATTTTTTTGTATTGTAGATGATGTCTCCACAATGATAGGAGTGTTCTTAATATCTTCTCTTTTTCCACGGACTCTATACACATCCTTAATATCTGAACTTACCATTTGGCAGCCGATAGTGTTGGATAGACTTAAAACCATTTCAATAAGTTTTTTTTACTCTCGTCGTTCTTTCTTTGGACGTTCTTGATTTCCAAATTTGTTTTACGTCTATCTTTTTGCATGTCCTCTATTTTGTCTTCGAAAAGAGCTATATAGTTCATGTCCTCCTTAATTTGTCCTTCTAGCTTAGAGATCCTTTCTTGAAATTCAAGATTTTGAGAATTCATCAGCGATAAGAATATGTTTTTCATTTCTTCTTTTAAATTAGCCAATTCCGAAGTGATTCTTCATTTCTTCTTCTCTTTTTCCGGGCAGTTAAAAAGTTTGGTGGGGTTGTTTGATGTGCAATTTCCACTTCTGTATCTGACAACGATTTATTCATGGTATCCATTTGCTCACGATTAGGAGACTATATTCTCGTAGTGTATTTATATTCTTTGCTATAAGTGAATAGGAGTTAGTTATACTATTCAATACGCAGTCGCAAAATGGTGCAAAAAAATAGTGCGGCAGCTATGTCCTATGGCAAGCAAGGGGTGGAGTCACGTTTGAGTGGGTTGCACTAAAACGCCAAAATGGCCGAAAAGTGCGTATGCAGATAGGCTAAGCGCATACGCAAGTAGGTCGATGACGACATAAAGTATGTCCGCAGAAGGGGGATGCGTACTAGGCAATCAGAATATCAGGTTTGATTCACAGTTTTGCTCACCACCACCGCTTTCTGCACTCCTATTTTTTTTCTCGAATTATCAACACTGATTTAATTATTTAAAGTTGAAAATGTAATTGACTTAAGTTTTACAAACGAGTACACCTTGCGGCGGTCCAGGAGGAAGAGCAAATACAGAGAGGCTTATTTAAAATTACAGCCTACAAATGTAAGTTCTTGCGACGGGAAGTCGCTTATCTTGGGCATGTTATTACAGATCAAGGTGTTTCGCCTCGCCTTGATATGGTAAAGTAAAAACTCAGTTTCCCACACCTAAGACTCCTAAAGATGAGAGCAAATACAGAGAGGCTTATTTAAAATTACAGCCTACAAATGTAAGTTCTTGCGACGGGAAGTCGCTTATCTTGGGCATGTTATTACAGATCAAGGTGTTTCGCCTCGCCTTGATATGGTAAAGTAAAAACTCAGTTTCCCACACCTAAGACTCCTAAAGATGTAAAGCCATTTCTTAGATTAACAGGTTACTCTCGTCATTTCATAAAAAACTTTTCGCATATCACAAAACCTCTTACTTCTTTACTTAAAAAGGACACTATCTTTCACTCGTCTCATGAGCATATTCTTATATACTTTCAATCAACTTAAACAAAAGTTGGTTACAGCTCCTTTACTGCAATACCCCGACTTCTCTTAATTTTTTCTCCTTTTATCGTAACTACCGATGCTTCTAATTACGCTGTTGCCGCAGTTTTGTCTCAAGGCAAGATTGGTAAAGATAAACCTATCGCCTATGCATCTCGTACCTTAAGAGGGCATATGCGTTTCGCGTCGAAAACTACATGTTTTATGGTTTTTCCAAAGGCGATATCGTAACGACGTGAGGAGATTATTTGCTGAAAATTAGGGCTTTAGAAAGATGAAGTATTTATTTAGTACATAGCAGTGCAAAATCATAGTTTTTAATGACGGTTTTTTTAGGGCGAAGACAATCCCTTCACTGTGTTTTACGAAAATATGCATCAGAGTTATCTTTCAGGTTGAATACAACCATTATTATAAGCTAAAATACTTTATTTTAAGCGTTATTATAATGAAATATATAGTCTTTTAGGGTATAGCAAAACCTAAATTACGATAATATTTCGATTTAATATTATAAAATAATATTATAAAATCACCAAAACTGTCTACTTCAATGTAATTTTTTCCATGTATTTGCTTATAAACATATCTATTTTAATTATTTTATCAAAATAAATGTAATGTTAAATATCCAAAAAATTTTTAGCTCGTTTTATTTTGTCAATTATTTTATATAATTATTTTAAAAATACTATAAAACATCATGCGCAGATGCAGTCAGTGGTACCAACTTAGGGTAATTTACCCTATATTTAGAGTAAAAGTAATCCAGCAGGGTAATTTCTGGGGTATGAATTTTCCTAGGGTATTTTTTGGGGTAACAGTCAATAACAGTAAAATAATTACTTTGAATGATATTGTTTTTGAACGCGCCCATTACAGATTCCGTGTCGTGAACGCACCGTTTGCTTTTGTGTCTCTCTCTAGTCTCCCTTATTTATTGTGTTGCTTGTTCTTTCTTTTCGTGAGTGTGTGTTGTTGTGAAAAATGGCGTCGTCTAGTGCTGGCGTTACGCGTTCAGGTGTGAAAAAGTATGCACAAAAATACTGTAAAGAATGGGAGTATGATCCAAATTTAAAAGGTAAGTCCAGTTTTCTTAAAGCTATAATATGTATTAATCTAATTGAGCAATGAGACTGAGGTTACATAAGCATTATTGTAACTGTTTTTCTTTGATTGTATTGTACTTTGTTTGGCAGTTTGGCTGTTAATATTATTTGAATGTCTTTGGTAATGTATAAGAGTTGCCTGTTGCAAAATTTACCCACATCTGTAGGTATATTTTACGGGTGGTGGTGGTGATGGATAAAGATAAATGCATATTTTGGTGATGATGAAGATGAATGGTGGTGACGGTGCGGTGGTGTTAACGCTTTGCTTTTTTATTTTTAGATTGGATTTGTCCTGACCCCACTGGTGAAAACTATGCAAGGTGCAAATATTGTAAAGTCACATTAGTATCCCACAAGATAGAACTTAACTATCACGCAAAGAGTAAAAAACACATAAAAGCTGTGTCATTAGATAAAGCGGCGACGTCCTGTCAGCAATTACTGCCTTTTGTAAAAACAGTTTCGAAGAATAACAAAACTGCGGAATTAAAAATAGCTGCTTATATAGCTGAACATAGTGCTATTCAAAATGTAGATCATTTAGGTGAAATCCTGCCATGTCTTGATCTGAAATCAGAAGTTCTGGGGACGTTAAAAATACACAGAACTAAATGCAGCATGCTAATAAAAAACGTTCTTGGTCCAGTAATGATGCAAGAAATTATATCAGATGTTGGTGATGCTGCATATTCACTTATTGTAGATGAAACTACGGACATATCAACAGATAAAATTCTGTGCATAATGATACGGTATTTTTTCAAAAATTAAGCAGGATATCATTACAACATTTTACAGATACATAAAAATATGTAAATGCGATGCAACAACCATCTACGAAACTATAAAAAATACTTTACTAGAGGACTCCTTACGTCTTGAAATGCTGGTAGGAATTGGGCTAAACGGTACTAATGTAATGATTGGTGAGCACCAGTCTGTCGCAGCACTGTTGAAAAGAGACTTACCGGATATTATCATCGTTAATTGTACCTGTCATTCGTTGCATTTATGTGCAGAGAAAGCTTCGGAAAGTATGCCCCGTCAACTGGAATTTTTGATTCGAGAATGCCACAATTGGTTCTCGTATAGTTCTAAACGCCTTGAAGCCTACAGGAACTTATACGAAATTATGAACGAAAGTCGAGCTCCTAAAAAAATACCAGGATTTTGCGGAACACGCTGCTTAGCACGTTCTCATGCTATACGTACGTTACTCGAGCAATGGGAGGAATTAAAGCTTCTTTTCATGATGAGACTGAAGACAAATGTTTCATGGCGGCAAAATTGTATGACATCATGAAATGCAGAGCTTACCATGCATATTTCACGTTCTTAGATGTTCATCTACGACAAGTTACTAAAGTAAATTGCCTTTTTCAAAGTGATAATGTCGATCCAACGAAACTGTTAGAAGACTTGTTTTTGCTATTCAAAAATATCCTGCAAATTATTGTCATACCTCGGAAGCTTGAAATTGTTACGGATGGAGAATATGCATCATTTGGTTTTCAGGAGCATTTGATGCATGTATCAGCAATGCATTTTGGCTACACGGTTGAAGAGGCGCTATCGAAACTAGACAGACGTGACAAAGAAGACGTACGTGAGAGATGCAAAACCTTTCTTGTTATTTTTGTGTTCCGAATTACAGAAAAGGTTGCCAAAACAGATCACATTCCTTAAAGCCATGTAATCTCCAGAAATAGCCACTTCTCAAGTAAAACCTACATTAGTTGACATATTACAAAATGTACAAAGGGCTGAAGTATATGGTTGTAAACAAGAGGTAGAAATGGAATGGAATAATTTGCAAAACAAATCCTGGAAAAATACGACGCGTTGTACTGATTTTTGGGCTGAGGTTCAGGGGGACACAGACGCTGGGGGTAATAAAAGATTCCCTAATGTCTCTAAATTAGCATTGTCTCTTTTGTCGGCGCCTATATCTAATGCAGCCGTAGAAAGGGCCTTTTCTCTATACTCAGTCGTCAAAACAAAGCTTAGGAATAGGCTATCCCTGCAATACAATACAATTTAAACTAAAATTAAATTAATAAACTATTTAAGCAAAAAAAATACAATTTAAACATATTTCACAAATCTTGTGTTAACTTCACGCCTTCAAAAACAATGTTGGACAAATTTAATAATAGCATGTATGACAAAAAAGATAGTGATGCAGAGGATACTTTTATTGTTATGCGCCAATAATATAATAATATGAGTAAATAATGTAGTTGTTTTATTTGTAAAGAAGGAAAAGACAAGGATATTTTTTAGGGTATTTTTTTTAAATAATACAGATTCTAGGGTAAATTGAGACCAAGCCTAGGGTAAAGTAAAACCTTGACCTGGCAACACTGGACGCAGTTCGATTCAGTACGCTCCGGGTAATCCCAACGACAGGACGTATTACTTTTTCTCACCGACACCGCGCGATCGCGTTGATACACCGATAGGGCTATACTACACCATACTATAACTAGATACCTATAGCACCATCGAGCATTTTAAACGATTCACTTTTAAAAGCGATATTTTTGGTAGTAAGTAATTTTGAAATATGTTTATGATTGTAATATTTAAATATTAAATGATGTAATGGTGGCAAATTTTCATTTCACACATTTTTTTTGAAATGAGTAATTGAACGTAAGCAATTCGGATCAAGTAAAAATACAAAATCGTTGGCTTTCAACTTTAGCTCCGTGGCGGAGTGACTTGGTAATGATTTGTAGCGCTGAGCGCCGCAGGTTCGAATCCCACATGGAACAAAAATTTGTATTACCTACAAATAATTGTTCCAGGTCTGGATGTTTGTCCTTGTGAAATTAATGTATTTAAACTGCCCTAACGATGTATGTACTTAGGAAAAATTCCTAGTGTGGAGATAACGTTATGATTAAACAAAGACATGCCATCAAAAACATAACTTGTAAAATAACCAAGTCTCGCAATGATGATACGGCCGTGCCGCTGTTTTGGTCTACATGGCGGAGGCACTACCGTGCCCCCAGATATAAAACATATGAGCCGTGCTTGAGTTGAGTAGCTCAATGGCGTAGTGCTCGCCGTAAACGTGAACAATCCGGGCTCGATCCCCGCTAGTGTTGCCAGGTGTCCCGATTTGCGCGGGACGTCCCGATTTTCAAAGGTCTAGTGACACGTCCCGATTCATCATTGATCGGGACGCCAAATGTCCCGATTTTCACTAACCTTCTTATTCTATACTTTAATCCATAATTTTGACAGCAAAAATGATTACATCTGTTAGCTACTACCACATTAAAATATTTTAACTACGACATTGTCTCACTAGTCGAAAAAAAACCACAAAAGTTTTAAACAGAATTATATTAAAATGAGTGATTTGAAAAATTCAGGGACTGCAAAAAAAAAAAACAAGTAGTTCAAAAATGTTTTAATTTGCCAAAAATGAAAAAAATTCAGTTTTTACGATGTTTGGATGAAAAGTTATTCGTTCATGAGATCAGACTCGAATAATAATTATAAAGCACAAAAGTAAAGTTACAGTCACAATTTCTCGCATTACTCGCATTTTTACAGCATCTTCTTCATCTTCGCATATTTACAGTTAGCGTTGACCATCTGAGCTACCACGGCTCTCAATAAAGCACAAAAGGCTACAAAGAAACCTATATTTTGTAGTCATTCTAGTTGTCCGGATATGAAAACCAAATCCCCGATTATTTTTACCTTCCGTCCCGAAATTTTACTTGCTAGACCTGGCAACACTAATCCCCGCCGACACTGATAAAATTGTTAGTTTGATGAATTATGTTTACATTATGAAACAGAATAAAAGTTTATCAAATGATATATATTTTATACAATACATATTTTTCAATTAGAACATATACATATTATAATATACTCAATAGGGTGAAAATGTAAAGCCGACTTCAATTTACTAAAAGAATACCTAAAACAATTTCCAGATATTAGCCTCCGATTTCCATACACTATATAAGTAAGCCATTATATGGAAATTATTATTTTATTATTTTAGTTCCAACAGTATCAGACAGGTATATAATCAACGATCAAAGTGATTCGTAGTCGTCGTTAGGCAACTATTATAGCCTCACGCTCGCCCTGACACGCACACAGAGATAACATTGTAGTGTGCGTCATTATTACGCCGTTCCAAAGCGATCGCGTAGATTTCGACTTGGACATATTTGAATATGCGCTCTTAAGTAAACAAGAAGGAAAACTATTCGACTACAGAAAAGGAATTATTGGCAATACTCTTCGGTATTAATACTTTTCGACCGTATCTTTGCGGGTATAATTTTAAGATTGTCACAGATCATCGCCCTCTTATATGGCTTTTCAATGCCAAAGATCCAAGTGGACGTTTGCTCAGATAGCGATTAATCGTATATTATGCGAGTCGTAGAAGAATACGATTATAAAATCTATAGAATACTATAATACATACATAATAGAACGGGGGGAGTGGGCGGAGCCCGTGTAGCTACAAAAATGCCACTAAAAAAGCCACAAAATGTCAATTCACACGTATAAATGTCAACACGAGATGTGTTTTGACGTTACAATCGTTTCTAAATTTCGCATGCAAACTATTTAGAAAATGCCAAATTGCACGCTATTTGCGAATAAATATGTATTAAAATCCGTCTGTCAACATAGCGAATCGGGTTCGTAGGAGTGATTAACTGATAATACGACGTAATTGCTTGTATGTGTGCTCCCAGGGACGCCTCTACTCGTACAAAATAGGGTTGACAGGCATTCCATTGTGTATTATATTCTATTGTTATTATATATATTCTATGATGAAATCGTTTAAAAGCCAGGTAGAATCAATTCAAATGCGGATGCTTTATCTCGTAATCCAGTAAACGATATCAAGCATTCTAAATTAAATAAGGCTTTATATGAACAATTTTTTTTGAAACAATTTACATAATCAATTTCTAATCATACACAAATTGAAGAGCACAATCAAAGTTTATATTCTGCAAAACAAAAAATAATTGTGTGTCCAGTCTCTCTAGACATTGATTACTTCTATACCGAACTGTGAACTGCTATTGTCAATGATAAATAATACTAGGTATCGAGTTGTTATCAACGGAACGCGAACTTGAAACCATACACTCGGTTGACCCTAACAATAAAACATTTTACTTCCTTTACACTAAAGTTCATCATTATGATGAGACAAGTTATAAGAGAATTTATAATTTATTACGTAAGTTTACGGATCTAATTATTTATTTCTAAAGATAACTATGATACTTAGATAGCATTATCTAACTTTTCGAAACCATTTACAAAATTAGTATGCTTAAGGATTACAATATATATCTTATATTTTCCATGGAACAAATATAAAGGTTCACTTAAACAAGAATCGAATACAATACCTTTCTCCAGCCGGGATTCCAAACATTTTAAAAGAAAACCACGGGACTACCGTAGCTGGTCAGCCAGCCGGGCTAGCATGGGCAGGAGATAATATATCCCCAGGGAGAGGATAAATTTTTTATCCCTTGCTCAATTTTATCCACCCTGCGAGTATGAGTATGGGCAGGAGATAAAAATTATATTCTCCGATTATATCCACTGACAAGAGACAAAGTGATCTTATCCCTACAGTATATCCCCGTTTGACATAACGAGTAGGCATATATTCCAACATCCGTAGCATGGGGCCAAAGGAAACAGAAAAAAATATCCCTTTTTGACATTTGAAAGGGACAATTTTATCCTCCTTCATGGATGTGGGTTTAAGTTTATCTTCAAACCATTTTAATACAAAAAAGGTGTCTCAAGCCTATTGCAACCTGCATTTTCTGCAACTACATTTTCGTATTAGAAATCGAAAAACAAGAAAGAAAATTACATCGGCGATCGATACGTTATCAGAGTACTTAATCTATTGGAATTCCCCGACAACGAATTTCTACGCCGGTTTCGGATGCTCAAAGATTGTGTTTTGTATTTGTGTAAAGAACTCTATAAGGCTTTAAAGCCTATTAATTCTGTGGATGGACTACCAGTGCATATTAAAGTAAGCATCTATTAGAACCACCTCGTGCAAAAACATTTTATATTTGCAATCAATACATGTGGCTAACTTATCTTAATATTTTTTATAGGTTGGTACTTTACATCTTTCAGTCTCTTGGCAGATGGTAGTTACCAGAGAGGTACGAGTCAAGACCATGGAATGGCTGTTGTTCAAACAGTAAATAATCAGCAAATACTTGACCCAAGTTATTGGGGCTATCATTAGAATGTGGGGAACAATATACTTTAATTAGCCTCTTGTGTAGGTAAATACAAGTTTCAGTGCATGTACTTCTTTCACTTTACTTTGGACTAATACTGAAGTGAATATAATTTTCGGACGTATAACAAGCAAGGCAAAATGTAGCTAGAGGATACTTAGCAGAGCATGTTCTGCCAGATATTCTTGGGGCTATTAACTGCACCCATGTTGATATATTTCACCTACCATTCTAGACTGGGGTTTAGTACAATAAAAGGGCGATCTACAATAATTGTTCAACTGGTAATAGCAAACACGTTATAGAGTTTAAAAAAAACTAATAATCAAGGTTTTTCTTAATAAAGAATAGTAGTATTATATTCATCTAATATTACCCTTTCCGTCGGAAATAACCGTAATGCCTATGTGCCACAATAGTCTTACAGGTCCGATGAGACTATTGTTGTCCCGGTTAAAGATTGTAAAACCTTTCAGATTGTAGTCACCCGTTAACCATTGAGCTATTGAGTCTCAATGCCATGATATAATAACATAGATTGTGGATGTAGAGTGCCGCATTATTGACATAAATGAACATTATCCAAGGCTAGTCCATGATCAAGTCATATTTAACAACTCCAAAGTTTAATCAGAAATGAAATGTCTGTATGATGTTAGAATCAGCCTATACTATATTTTAGGTAAAATATTTTAAAATAAAGTTATCAAACTTAGTAAAGTTACAATTCAAACTTTTAAATTAAGAAATATAATAATTATTAGAATAGCAAAGCTTGTTCAATAGTTTAAAGGCTAATATACATAATATTAGGAATAAAAATAACAAAACACTCATAATCATATAATTATTTATTCTTTGTTTTATTTGAAATCATTAAATTTTCATTCGTCATGCTTCATCGTATCTTTATTAGTACTATTCTTTGTGAAAATCTGCAATGACAATCAGCAACAATTGATTGACACCTATATTAAGGAAATAATGAGATTAATAGAAACAAATATTTTACAGGGGCTCGGGCTTAACATCAGAACTTTGGTTGATGACTCTATATTTGAAAGCTGCCAAATAGTTCTGCAGAAAAATATAACTACCAACTGGCATTGCTAAGTGAGAAACTGTGTGGAAAGAACAAATGGGTATCTCAAAGGCAAATTCCGAAGCTTGGGCATTGACATAGTAACTCCACCACAGTCCAGAGAAAGCTTAACAATAATAATATATTATGCTTATGCAACACTTTACAATATCATAGAACATCAATGTTGTTTTTGTAAATAATATGTACATTATATTTGAGTATATCCTCACATATATAATTACTATTGGAATGCTTGTTTACTAATCGTTAATTTATTTTGTAAATTGCAAAATTCCAATGGCTAACTCATCACGTCTGTGGAGCAAACCCAGATGTTGGCAATTACACGACAGAAAGAGAAGATTAATAAATACATACTTCAACTAATATTTATTTGTATGATTACCTTTCCATTCTTTTGAGTTTATATATCTATTACTTAGGTGGGCATTCTGTGTACGAAGTAATTGATTTTGTTTACACGAAAGATTATTATGCTCTTTCGGCCTTTCGTCTATACTCTGAAAAATAAGGTCAAATATATATTGACTGTATCAGAACAATAAAATAAATAATGGGCGATAAATGTAGAATAACAGGTCATAAAATAGTATCAATTATTTGTAAAGATAAAGACTTGTAGAGAAAATTAACATTTTGCTTTTATATTACAATAGTTACTTTACAATATTTTATGTGGTAATACATACTTACATTACATATTACACTAAAATACATACTTAATTTTTGGCACTCATTTTAATATAAATAAATTGGTTTGAAGAACAGAAAATGTTATTTTATTTGTTTATTGAAAAACAAACATTTTAAACTCAAAATCACGAGCAAAGATAAAAAATAATATAAAAAAATATAGGTATAGGATAGAGTAGACATCAATTTTGATGTAATTATTTGGCAATTTTCTTATAATGGCAATAATTGCGGGAATAAGTTTATCTCCTATTTTATCTACTGTGGATATTATATCCACAGTAGGCCCATGCTCGCAGGGTGGATAAAACTGAACGAGGGATAAAAAGTTTATCCTCTCCCCGTGATCCTCTTAGCAACTAAGTCATTATTTTTTATCTGTGCTCGTGGTTTCGACAATTATAAGATTTCTTTTCTTTTCGTCACAAGTTTTCGTTTTCGGTATACAAAAATTAAAACTGAGAGGTTGGTATATTAAAATGAGTGCCAAAAAGTAAGTACTAACATAAAATGTATTAAAACAACTATTGTTTTATGAAAACGAAAAGTAAACTCTTTTTTATAGTATAGGGAGACAAACAAGCACACCGTCCACCTGATGGTAAGTGGTTGCTGTGGCCCGTAGACATCTACATCTATCAAAATGCAGATGCGTTGTCACCCGTGAGGACTAAGATGGAATGCCTTATTTCCAGTAAAAAGGGTATCCGGTTCTCTACACTCACCATATGAAATACAGCAGCATTAAGCTACCATTTCACGCTGGTATTCTGTGAGAGCGTGGTCCTTCCACGGTCGAGCCGACCCATTCGTGCTACACCTACCTATACGTCTAATATAACAGCAGCATGGCTTTACCACGTATAACTTAACTTATTGTCTTTACAAATCTTTTTGTTTACAAATAATTGATGCTATTTTATTACTTGTTCGTCTCATTGACTTACAGAGTGTGTCCGGTCACGGACTAGCGATATTCTAGATACTTATAATACAGCTATTTTAATACAAAAATACACTACACTACACACTAGGGTCTTATATATATATATATATATATATATATATATATATATATATATATATATATATATATATAGGGTCTTATAGTCTTTAACAAAATGGCCGCCACATAGAGGGGGACGGCCCCTCTATGTGGCGGCCATTTTGTTTTTTTCTAGAAATATTCTCTACGTGTTTTCAAAAAATTCGTATCTCTCAAAGTTTTGGTCTTACTGAGATAAAAATTGGCTCATTTGGAGGGCAACAATATTGTCTATTGTTTACGTTACCAAAAAAATGTTCAGATATTCGTATCTTTAAAGAAAACAAATTAACTTAAGTAAGAATAAATATCAAAAAATTATGCTAATCGGTTAATTATAGTAGATTACTGCAAAAACAACCCCGCTTACCATATTAATTTGTTTACTAGATCGACAGATTTTGAGTTAAGCTACAATACAACATAAAGTTTACAACTGTATGTTTATTATTTTAGGAAGTATTGTTGTTTGAACATAGCGTATGCGCAACCACAAAAGGCCTTTGAGTTGTCACTAAACAAAGGCCTTTTGTGTATGTTCAAACAACAATCAATTTTAAAAATTTATAAAAAAAACCTAAGCACGTCCGGCAGGAAGGGGAAGTAGGGGGTGACTCTACAACTCCTTCCCCCCATACCCCCCACTCCCTAATTCAGGCGACCGACTTGTAAACCTTACCCGCAAATTCTCAGGGACATACTAAAAGTGTATGGGCCAGATAGAACGGTTGAACAGTGGAAGCAGGTAAGTCCATAACATATCACATTTTCAGGTTTAAATTTAAGTAATATTTGAATATTCCTTTATTTGCAGACTTGGAAAGATTCAAAAAAGGGTGCGCGTATCGAGAACGCGGCGGCAGCTCGTGGACGCAGCACAACGGGCAATGTAGCAACAGTCCCGACTGTGTCTGAAATGGGCACAAAAGTTTTAAACATAATTGGGTATAAATCCTCCACTGGTATTGGGCCTGAAGAGTCTTCAATAAGTCAGGCAAATGTGTGTTCTTATTTAGTTCTGAAATTGTGCTTTGTGTAACCTTGCCTCTGAAAGCATGTTATCAAGCTTATTCTAATTTTATATCAGGAAATCATTGAAGTGTCGGTGGTGGAGCGTGATACCAAATAATATGTAGTAGTCAAAATTGTTCGAACATACTACAGTACCCACCTCCTTCGCAGACGAGCTGAAAATATTCCACCAGCCCCTTCCACCAGCCATCCAGTCCCTTCCACCAGCCATCCAGTCCCTTCCACCAGCCATTCAGCTCATTCCACCCACTATGCCACAGCCCAAAACAGAAAAGAACGGTCGTATGATGTTTTTAATCGCCTCCAGCAAGAAAATAATGCATGTTTACAAATAACAATTCTTTTTTTATTTCATTACTAATTGAAAGAATGCTATTATTCCTTTCCTGATTAATATTGTTCTGCAACAGTCTATATAAATTTCACCTTATCTTTCAGATTATAGATGAAAGGCTCAAAAAGCGTCAATAGCCTTCTGTGTGAGCAAAACGAATTGTTACGTGCACAGAATGCCCACCTAGGTCATAGAAATAAACTTGAAAGGATGAAAAGGTAACCATACAAATAAGTTTTAGTTGAAGTATGTATTTATTATCTATATCTTTCTCTTTTTTACCGGGCAATTGTCAACAGCCTGGTTTGATCCACAGATGTCATGAGAGGATTACTTTGTTCACTTGTTACATCTGAGTTGACCATTGGTTGTTCCATTGGAATTCTGCAATATATAAATTAAATTTATAATGTTTATCAAAAGTAAACAAACATTCCAATAATAATTATGTGTATAATATAATTGTTCAGGCTTAATGCCTGAAGTGATTTAAGTGAAATGCGCGAATGAGTGATTGCCTTCAGCTCGTCAGAAGGCGCTCATGTGCTTCTCAAAGCAAATTCTCAATGTCAAATCATTTGTCAACCAAACGCTGTACGATTAACATTCTTTTGTCTAATATAACTAATTTTGAAAAGTAAGAGCATTTGATTTGCACCAGTGTATCCTCTAAAAATAAAACATGGTGTCCCATGAGGGGAACTAAAAAGAATCCGCAATAAAATCAATAAAAGTCAAGAAATTCATCAAACACATTCTAACAGTGGCATTGCTATTTAAATAATGAGCATTTAAAACTTATTTGAAGATTATTTATAGATAAAAATTAAAGTTAATTATTAAATATGACTTCATCAGCAGAAATTAATAAAACACGATTACGTGAATTAACTACAAAAAGAGTGTCCGCAAAAGGACAAATAACTAAATTTAAAAATTATTTAAATAACCTTAGCAGTAAAACGGACTTACAAAATGTGCAATTTACCGAGTTAAGTTTAAAACTCACCAAATTTGAAGCGTTATTCGTTCAGGTTGATGATTTGCAGAGTGAAATAGAGGTCTTAAATCATGAAAATATTTCGGCTGAAATTGAGGAGCGCGACAATATTGCGCAAGAGATAATAATAAACATCGCCAAGGCCAAAACTTAAGTTAAAAGATTTTCTAAAAAATTTGAATGCGAAAAAAGGCGCAGCCCCGTGCACAACGCCTCATGTTGCGTGGATGATCCTGGTTGCCGTGAGGCAGGTTTGAAATTACCTCAAATTCAAATTGCCAAATTTGATGGTTCCTATTTCTGGTGGCTGGAGTTTCGGGACACCTTTGAGAATTTGATATATAAAAATGATCGCATTTCAGATATTCATAAGTTTCATTATCTCGTGTCTTATTTGCAAGGTGACGCGGCCGGAATAATTTCTAACTTAGAAGTGTCAACGAATAATTATTCTGAGGCATGGAAAATGATTTGCAATAGATATGATAACAAAAGAATATTAGTAAAACAATTAACACGCGAATCGGAACGGTCTTTGAGATTTATGGTCGATCACGTAACCAAGAACTTACGCGCCTTGTCTAGCCTAGAACAACCCACTGATAAATGGGACGTGCTTATAATATTCATGTTAGCATCTAAGCTAGATAGTGCTACATTGTTAAATGGGAGGAATATCGCAATACATTAACGGGTGATGTTCCGTCATTGGAACTATTTTATTACGCTCAAAAGTTTCATCAAAACAATAATATCATAAAGACATTTGCAAGCAAAAGCGATAATTACGGTAAAAAGTCAAATATATTTACATGCACTATTTTTAACGAGCATCATAGAATCTACGATTGCCCCACATTTAGGGCTAAGGGGATTGACGAGCGAATGCTGGACGTAACGAAGTATAAATTATGTGTCAATTGCCTAAGGCAGGGTCACACTGAAACCTCGTATTGTCATCTACTATGGGACTACTGTTGTTTATCCCATGAAGGTTTCGGGCCTCGGGGAGTACCCCATTACCAGGGTAATCCTCACAGCCCATATCTATTGGCCGGTCTTGGGAGCCGTAAATGTACGACATTGTCGGTAATCTTCATCACCGGCCTTCTTCAGCCACCAGGTCGCTGCTACCGGAGGGTCGGCCGTCTCAAAGCCCCGCGGAGTCCCGAGGTAAGGAGTCGACGCAGGGCCAATCTTGCCGACGGGAGTGCGCTCCGGACAGCAGCTGCTGCGGGTCTCCAGAGCTCCTTCCTGGCTCTAGGTGATGGCCTGGTAGCCATAGGCAGAAGTTGGCGTATCTTGCGCCTCTGGGAAGGGATCTGCCGAAGGGTCAGCAACCTCCAGGTCCCGCGGAGACGCATCTCGACGCTGAGCCGAAGTCACCAACAGGCGCGCGCTCCTAGCAGCGCGCCGGGCCTTCGGAGTTTGCTTCCCAGCGTGTAGGTGAAACGCAGCGTTAGGTGATCTTCATCCTGGGTGGGGTCAAGGGCGTCCTCGAGGCTCCACGCAAGCCGAGTTGGCCCCACAGCACGTGCACCCATTGCGAAGCGACGCGCTGTACTTCTCCCACCCGGGCGGGAGTCGACGACCGGCGGACGAGACCGCTCGCTAGCGCGGTCCGGACGAGACTCCACCCTGAAAGCGAGTGTCGCATGGAGCCTTGTCGCGAGCGCGACTGCAAAGAGCGCCACAACAGTCTGCTCCACCGTCCGTCTTCCTCTTCAAACCACCTCACCCTCGCGGATGAACAAGATGAGATTATCGTTAATTACTCTAATCAAAATACAAATCAGGTTTTATTATCTACTGCAACGATTGAAGTATCGAATCCACTTGATGAGCAAAAGGTTAAGGTTCGTGCTTTGTTAGATTGCGGAAACATTTGCGCGATATCCAGCCACAACGACTGCCTGTGAGTGATTACTCAGATACGATTCCATCCATCTGAAAAGATTTCCACGTATTCCTAGCTCCTGTAGCTTTTTTAGAAGGATGATATGATCAATGCGGTCAAAAACCTTTTCAAAGTCTGTGTATATTGATGAAACAGAACTCTGTTTCTGTTTCCGCAACTGCGGAAGTTCTGCATTGTTTTTAACATCCGTTTCTGCTTCTGTTTCCGCAAGTTTTATAACGGAATTCTGAACGGAACTCAGCGACGCATCCACATAAATAGATTTATTGTATTTTTAGTTAGTTAGAAATTTAAGTGGCGTGTGTAATTTAAGTGAAATTATGAAGCTAAAAACAAGTCCTGTTTGGAACTATTATTTTGAGATTGATGATTTGGCAGATGTAAATTATGTGACAAAGTATACTCGCAAAAAGGCTGCACAACTACCGCTTTAAAGAGCCATCTTAAACGCTGAAGAGTGCAGTTTGAGAAGTTAGTTAAAACTGTAAAACTTTCATCGCCAACTAAAAAACAAATGGTCAGTCAAGGAATTGCATACCAATTTATTTATAAAATGTATTCCTATGTTATAGTTAAAACCAGATTTTAGTTAAAACATGTTTTCTAAAGTTAAAAATAGTTTTTAATAAATGCCTTTGTTACAACTTAGATTCGCAAATTAATCAGGCAGCAGTGATGTTTGCGTGAAGTTTATATTATTTATTTTTTACTTGAAGTTTATATTAATTATTTTTAAAGAAAATTTGATGAGTATTTTGGATTCAAAGTTTATATACGTCGTACTTTCGTGCTAGGGCTGTACTAAATTACCTACTCGCTAAACCTATGTGTGGCTCTTTATAGTGTTGGCCCAAATTTCAGTGCCTATTTAGCTTTGGTGTATAGGTGGTACGCAGCAATAGGTGGTACGCATCATCGCCAGTGAGCAATTATTTAGCGGAGCTGGACTTATATATGAAGAACACCGGAACAGATTGTTAGGTGTAAAAGCTGCCGAACTACTTTTCATAAAACATAACTTACTGCTACTTAATTTTGAACGTTAATTAAAAGTTTTGTTTGTAATTTTTCATAAGTATTATTTCCGTTTCTGCAAAAATAATTTTTAACATCTGTTTCCGTTTCTGCTTCCGATATGACACTTCCGTTGCATCACTACATCTATTTGGAGGCCATTATCCATCCCTATAAGAACACGTTGCTAAAGATGGAAAGATTGGTGCAGTTTGAGCGACCACGTACAAAGCCATGTTATTGAGAAGGAATATTTCGAATAACTAACGGGTATAATGATTTCTTAAATTTACGCGAACACTACACATTGAATAAAACTATTATTTACGGATTTTATTGCGTTTAATTACTTTAATTTATTTTTATTATTATCCCGACGTTTCGGGTGCTTTACAGCTTTTTTACCTTAACTGCGTAAACTCTAAAATACAATTCACAATGGAGTTAGAGACAAATAATTCTTTAGCCTTCCTAGATGTTTTAGTCATCCGAAATCCTGATAACACTATTGGTCACACTGTGTATAGGAAAAAGACCCATACCAACCGATATCTAAATGGTGAATCTCACCATCATCTTTCCCAGTTAGCTACCGTGGGTAAATCTTTGTTTCAGAGAGCACGAGGGATCTGTGACAGAAAACGTCTGGCCGCGGAGCTTCAGCACATCAAGCAAGTATTGCAAGACAACAAGCTTCGGGTCCCGCGCCTACGTCACAGTGAACGAGTGAAGCCGGCCACA